CAGCCAGAATGGAAGGGCAGCAAGTCCCTGGCCGTGGCTGAAAGGCGTAAGATTAGATTCCCCAACTCCCCTTTGTGTTTTTCATACGTGTTGTTCGCTCTGCCTGGAATAACCTCATCCACTCTCACCCTCTCTTCATATATCAAGCTAACATTTATCCTCAAAATTCAGCCCAGAAATCTTTTTTTTCTAAAGGCCTTCTGCGGTTCTCTCCAGATGGAGTTAGTTTTTCCCTTTCTCTATATTTTGCAGATAGTTCTAATGTGTGCTCATTAACATAAGGGACTTTTCTTTTTTTAATTTTTAGGCCGGCTGATGGCATAGTAGTTAAGGCTGCTGGACCTCACACCATTGGTTCAAGTCCTAGACCCAGTGACTTGAAAAACACACTGTGTGTGTGGGCGTGCCTGCCCAAAATCCCAGGAAAGGGAGAAATGGAGAAGGGATTGTGGCCCAGGGGGGTGCTCTCGTTTCTCTCTCTCATCTCTCTCTCTCTCCAGTAAATGTCTCCACCCTCTGGCAAGATTCTTTATTTTTTATTCTTTTTTAATTCATGATAAAGCACGTACACACACATGGTAAGTGTGAGAGGGAGAGAAAGAGGAATACCCTCCACAGCCCCCTTCCTCCAGCGCTCCGGCCTCTCAGATCTTGGGCACTCACATGCATGCTCCACATGTCTCCGGCTGATTGGTTCCAGGATTGAACCCACAGTTGCCATGTGGGATCCAGCTTCTCTCAAGCAGCATTACCACTGCATCATGGAGCCAGCCCTGCATAACAGTTTTAATGATTTAAAACTATTTAAATTATTAAATCTACATATTTATATCCTTGCTAATTTTGAGTTTCTTAGGACAGGGACGTGTCCTATTCATCTGTCCTACTCCCAGCACTAAGGACAGCGCTTGGGACATATGAGGTGATCAAAAATGTTCAAATGAATTCAAAGTAAGTGAGGAGCTAGGCTTGAAAGAAGAGAGAGAGAACTGAGATAGGGCTTTGGAAGAAAGAGGTGGGTTTTGAAAGGAAAGTCAGAAAGGCCTTCAGACAGGAGCCTGCTGGCTTATTATCCACGAGGGTGTCCTTTGCTTCCTCACTAAAAGCATTTCTGCCTGCTCAGGAATCCTGTCGGGTTTCTCCCAGAGGCCGGTTGGCCTCTAAGCCGGCTGGTATAACCCTTCAGGTATCTGGCCTAAGCTTGGACTTCCCAACCACCTTCCTACTCCGCATAGTCTCTCCTAGTTTCCCAGGACTTACCACTTCAGTAACAAAAGAACGCTTTCGCATTTACTGCACTATTTCAGCTACTCCTTGTAACACTCCTATGGAAAAAGAGAAATCACCGTTTTACAGAAGAAAACATGGAGTCTTAGTGGAAGAACCTAGCCCCCATCACATACCAATAAGCAGTAGTGCCAAGATTTGAAGCATTCTTTTAACTCCAGATTCATATTTTTTAAATAATTAAATTTATTTATTATTATTATTATTATTTAGATTTGCTATAGGGCACATGCATGCACCAGAAAAAGAGAGAGAGAAAAAAGTGAAAAAGCAGGGCCAGCTGGGGGTGTGGTGGTTAAGGCGGCTGGACTCCCACATGGCTGACTGCAGTTCGAGTCCTGGACCTAGCAGCTTGCTTTCTCACTTTCCTTCTCTCTCTCTGGTCAACTTCAAAAATAACATTTAAAAATGACAATGAAAAAAATTAAAAAAAAACAACAACACTGATCAGTAAAGTACACAGACAAATCAAAACATCATTAGGAAAAAAAAGAAGTGAGAAAGCAAGCCCCCAAGTCAGGGACTTGAACTGTGGTCAACTGTGTAGGAGTCCAGTGCCTTAACCACCACCTCATCTGCTGGCTCCTCAGATTCACATTTAAGTATATCACTGGACTGTCTGCTTTCTAGTGGGTCACAAGACAAATTTGGTGGCTTTGAATGCATACTATACATAGAGCTATGTGACAAATATTTACATGGGAAAAAAATAATACATGTAAACAAAGTAAAAAATGATCCACGTGGGACCAGCAGTTGGCATAATGGCTATGTCGCGGGACTCCCACGTAGTCGACCACGATTCAAGTCCCGGACCTGGTGGCTTAAACTCACGCCAGGTGTGTGTGCATGCGTGCCCAAGATCCTGAGAGGAGAATGGAGGAGAAGGGATTGCGGCGTGACCATCCCCCCTGGGGGGTGATTTCTCGCTTTCTCTCTCTCTCTGTCTTTCTGGCGAGCACACACGCCCTATAGCAAAAACCTCTCCAAAAAAAAAAAATGATCCATGTGAAAATATAACTTGTTCTATTGATAGATTCACAAAAGAAACATCCCCTGACCACCATTTTGTGCCTGGCATGTATTTAATCTCATCTTCTGTGAGGTAGGCAGTATTCTCCTTATTTTATAGGTTCCTCAGTTTTACAGGAATGTCAAGAGCTTGGACTTGGGCCCAGACAGAACTGAGTTCAAATACTAACTTCACCTCTTACCAAATATGCCAATCTGAGAGAAATATTCCATAAAAAGGGGTAATCTATGAAGCAGGAATATTAATACTTGCTTCGATGGTGGTGGTTGTTCTAAGGGTTAACCCTATAACAGGTGGAAGCACCCAGCCCGGTGCAGGTCACATGGTGAGGTCTCAGTAAATGGTAGCGTACAGCTCTAAAACCAAGAGGGACTTGATATCTGCCCAGACACGTATCTTGATATCTGCCCAGTACAAGAATAAAGAATTAATAACAATAAAATAAAAATGGGGGGGGAAGACAAAAACAAAAAAAAAAGAACAAAGAATTTGGGCCGGTAGGTGGCGTGATGGTAAAGGGCACTGGACTCCCACAAGGCCAACCGTGGTTCCAGTCCCAGACCTGCCAACTTGCTTTCTCGCTCTCCTCGCTTGTCTCTCTCTCACTCTCACTCTGTCCCTCTCTGATCAACTTAAAATAAATGAGTAAAAAATGAAGAATAAAGTAATTCTTTAAAAAATAATAATTTGAACTTGTGTGATTTCAAAACTCTGCTTTCCAGTATATACCTTTCATTATATATTCCATTCCTCTGTGTATTTTAAGTCTCCATATAGTCTGTTTTTTCTTACTGCCAGAGAGCACGCACACCACAGACCCAGCCGGCCATGTGGGACCTGGGTCCCTCTGTACAGGACTTAACTACTGAGTTGGGGAACAGCTCCACATACTCTTAAAATGTTTTCCCTTTTTTTTAGATTTTTGTCATAGGGCATGTGCGCTCACCAGAGTGACATAGAGACAGAGAAAGTGACACATCAACAGGGATGGGGGAAGGAGGTGGCCACACAATTCATTTTCCTCTCTGAATTTTGGGTACCCATGCACAAAGCCAGCTTGTTTTTCAACCTGCTGGTCCAGGATGCAATCCTGGAAGTCTTCCATGAGGGATACAACGCCTTAACCACCACGCCACCTACTGACCAAAAATGTTTCTCTAGAACTCCAAAGTTCTGACTTTCTAGATCAGTGTAATTTTTATGTTATACAGTTAGCACATATTATGAAAATATGAATCAACCTTACTATAGCAATCAGAATTAACTATTCATATTTTTAATTTTTCTTTTTTTAATTAAAAAAATGATCAAGTGCAAAGAGAAAGAGAGAGACAGAGGAGATATAGAGAAGGCGCTCCCTAATAGGTCATGCTTTCACCACAATCCCCCATTTCTCCATCCTGTCAGGGCTTTGAGTGCATTATACACACGCCCCCTAGCGTGTCCTTCAAGCTACCAGGACAGGACTCCAACCTGTTGGCCATGTGGTATCCGATTTCCAATATGAAGCACCTAACCATTGGATCACCGCCAGCCCCAATTTTTTTACCGTATATGCTTTGTTTCACAATGCTGAAAACAATTTTGTGTATTTCATGTCTACATCATAAACATTTTCTCAACATAAAAATGTAATTTTATCTCATTTTATTTCTGCTTATTTCATCAAGAGAAGATACCATAATCTAACTATTTACCATTTGTGGACCATCTTATTTGTTTCTAATTTCAATAAATTCTGCAAGCCACATCCTTTTCATACAATCGTTTGCAATTATAATTACTTCTTCAGTAAGATTCCTAGAAATGATATTCTGGGTCAAACAGGCTGGGGAGTTTCAAAGCTCCCAGTTACTCAAGAATTGCTGGGTCAGAGGACAATCATTCAAAGTTTTTCAATAAAAATGTTGCCAAATTGCTTTCGAGGAATTTTCTAATTCATATTCTCACCAGTGGCATAGAAGAGGCATTGGCTCACATTGATTTAAAAAAAAGAAAGAAAAAACTCTGTTCTTTAGGTAAGTGCGAAACGGTGCGTTCACCCTTTTTATTGATTAATAAGGTTGAACATTCTTTCCTGCAATTCATATTTCTTCTTAGTAAACTGCCTACTCTTATCCTTTGCTCATTTTCTATAAGGGTATTGTTTGTTTTACATTAAAAATTAATATTTTAAAAAGTCCATCTGCTTGCTCGCCCTTGACTGCCGAACACGGCGCCCCCATCGCTCTGGGAACTTTCCAGACTGCCTTAATTTTCCATGGCGGAAGCACGGGTTTCTACTAATCACTATGGTGGGAATGGCTGCACAGGAGGTGGCCCTCCCTGTCTAGATAGGAACGTCTCGCGGGATCTCAGCCGTCCTTGGGGCCTCCGACGCAACTACAAATCCCAAAATGCAACACGCCCCGCCCGAGCGCCCGAATGAAGGCGCAGGACCAAGGTCATGTGTCTGTTTCCGTCATGCGTCCGGTCATCTCGTCCATGCCTTTTTCTTCAGCTGCCACCTTGGTCGCCATTTTGTGCGGAGGTTATGGAACCTCTGAATCCCGCGGACTCTATGGTCCAGCATTTCAGAGATCGGCCAATCGTAACCGAGATCTCAGAGGCAAAACCCCGCCTTTACCCGCAGGGAGGCGGGACTTGCCACGAAGCTCCTGTGGTGTGAAGGAAGGAGCTGCGGAAAGCCAGTAAGAAAGAAGGAATCGATGACGCTAACCAATAGGGAAACGACAGGGTTGCGGCCAATGAAAGTGGAGGGAACCCAGGACACGTGGGTTGGGGAGCTGAGCGCTGAGACCGAGGGCTAAAGCTGGGAGGTGAGTCAGTCACCTTGAGCAGGGCGAGCGCTGTGGGCCGAGCAGGGGCAGCGGGGCTGTGGGAGTGCAGGTGACTTGGGGCCGAGAAGTAGCGATCATTAGGGTTGTAGGCTGGGCTGTGTGGAAGGGCATTTAGGCCCGGAGCTCAGGGAGGCGGTGGAGTCTGTGGTCTTACGAACGAAGGTTATTTATCAACGGTAATGAGCGATTAACTGTCCAGCTGGGACGTATCGAGGACAGCTTGTAGGATGGGCTGGACCTTGCACGGCACTTGCCCAGTTTCTGCCTCCAGTCTTCCCGAGAGACCATCCCCTTCGCAATATTAACCCCCTGGGGCTTGGGCCTCCTTCCTTTACTTCCGATATGCCTGACTTTCCTGTGCAGAGCAGCTGCGCTGAAGGTGGTGGACTCGGAAGTTCGCGTTGTCCCTCTGACCTCTAATGCCCTCCTCAGCTGGGACACAATGCAAGGAGTGTGGTCGGGGGAGGACTGGGCGAGGTGAAGGAGACAACCGAAGGCCGCCGCAATAATGGAATTATTATAACTTTTTTGTTTTGGCCCTGCAGACTGAAAACATGCAGACCACTGGGGCGCTACTCATTTCTCCGGCTCTGGTAAGCTGCGGCTGCGGGATGCTCTGTAGTGCCAGGTGTGGTGTGGGAGCCATTGTTTAATAACTGGACTGAGAGGAGCTTGGCACCCTGGTAAAGGTGGGTTGGGGAACCTGTGGGATGTGATGCAGGTAACCGGGTTCTTTGGAACTGTAAACCGAGCTGTCTTAGCTTTGGCATGTGGTCAGAGAGTCTGGGTTGGACCTATCCCCCTCCCCCCTAGTCTGCTGTGGTCATAGCCAGACAACCCACCAAAACAGTGGTTCTCAATCTTGGCTGCACATTAGAATCATCTGGGGAGCTTTAAAAAAATCCTGACGCTCAGGCTGCACCTAGACCAATTACATCAGACTTGAAATGGTGGTGGAATCTAGGCATGGGTATTTTTTAGAACTCAGAGTGCTTCCAATGTTGAGCCAAGTTTGAAAACCACTGACCTAAAGAGCATTTCAAGAAAGCCACGTTACAGAAGGCTTCTCTGCAATGGCTTTCCCGGAGCCACACACCCTTAATGGCTTACTCCAGTGAGTACATGTAGCAGTGAGAACGTTTTAACAAGTTTACCGCCTCTGAATCGTTGGGTGATATAGGTACAAGCCCTCCTTGTACCTGGTTTGATATTAGCGTGGGTCTTGTTCCATTCTGGGGAACTGATAAAGGCCGTGACCGCCAAAGTGAACTTTGCTATGTGACTTTGAATGGCGACAGTTGCCACTGCTGACTACGTCAAGCTCTCAGAACAGCCATCTCTGGTGCAGCCCCCACTGGTAAAAACAAAACTAATTAATTGGCCTCAAAATAAATTTGACATTTTTAGTGTGTAAGGGTTTTGTTCTTTTTCTTTTCTTCTTTTTTTTAAATTAGATTTTTGCTTTAGGATTCATGCATTCACTGGAAAGAAAAGGAGAGGGAAAATGAGAAATCACTTCCCCAGGGGGATTGGCCATGCTGCAATCCCATTTCCATTCTCCTTTCAGGATTTTGAGCATGTATGCACATGTGCCTAGCATGATTTTCCAAGCCACCAGGTCCAGGACTCGAACCATGGTTGGCCATGGGGGAATCCAATTCCTTAAAAACCACACCACCTGCTGGCTGATTTGTGGTCTTTATTTTTATTATTATCATCATCATCATTATTATTTTAAGATCATGCCATTTTCTTTTTTCTTTATTTTCTTTATTTATTGTTATTCTTCAGTTTGACCAGAGAGAGACAGAAAACAGGAGAATGAGAAAGCAAGCAAGCTGCCAAGTCCGGGACTTGAACCTCATCAGCCATGTGGGAGTGCAGTGCCTTAACCACCATGCCACCTGCTGGCGCCTGTGGTCATTTTTAATTTTATTTACTATCACTATTCTTCTATTTTGATCAGAGAGAGACAGACAGAGAGAAAGGGAGAGTGGGAAAGCAAGCCATCAAGTCCGGGGCATGAACCGTGGTTGGCCATGTGGGAATCCAGCACCTCAACCACCATGCCACCTGCCAGCCCTCCTTCTCCCCACTTCCTAGTCATTTTTGACAGAAGCTCAACAATTGGGATTTTTTTCTTGCCTGATTTGTGTCTTTCTGGTTTTACAGATCCGCTGTTGTACCAGGGGTCTACTAAGGCCTGTGTCTGCCTCCTTCCTGAGTAGGCCAGAGAATGCATCGAAACAGGTACGTAAAGGCCCTCTTGGGGGACCAGCAGTTAGCCTAATAGCTATATTGCTGAACTCTCATGTAGTCAACCGTGGTTCAAGTCCCAGACCTGGTGGCTTAAACTCAAGCCAGGCGTGGATGCATGTGTGCCCAAGATCCCGAGAGGCAAATGGAGAAGAGATTGTGCCGTGGCCATCCCCCCTGGGGTGGGGGGGTGATTTCTTGCTTTCTGTCTCTCTGGTGAGCGCACATACCCTATAGCAAAAACCTCAACAACAACAACAAAAAAGGCCCTCTTGGGAATTTTCCTAGATAGGACTTAAAGGTTGGATTGCCTTTAGGATGAAGTGGAAGAACAGTTGTAGGTGAGAAACTTACAACAGTGAAGTTTGCCTGACCCATGATGTTTCCCTAGCCCTGAATGAAAATAGACCCCAAGACTAGTTCCCAGCGTCCTCTGCAGTCAGAGCATTCTGTACTTGCCAGGCAGATTGCCAGCAGTCAGAGCCCAGGTGGGTGGGGTGGGGGTGGAGTCAGCCACCTGTCCTTGGGCCTCACTATCTCCTTGTTCTCTCCCGTCTGTGTCTCCCTGCTAGCCTTCTTCCAGCAGCTCCCCTCTCCAGGTGACCAGGCGGGAGTTCCAGACCAGTGTTGTCTCTCGGGACATTGACACAGCAGCCAAGTTTATTGGTGCTGGTGCTGCTACCGTTGGTGTGGCTGGTTCAGGGGCTGGCATTGGAACGGTGTTTGGCAGCTTGATCATTGGCTATGCCAGGTAAGTTTGGGGTGGCCTAGAGCATCTTCCACTGTAAACCGCACCCTATTTGAGGGGAGCCTCCGAGCCTCAGCCGGAAGCACTCCCTTCAGAATCCTTCAGGTTGATTTGTCTATCCCCTATTTTCTCCAGTGACCTCTGAATCAATTTAAATAATGTGTCCAGCCTAGCCCAGCCACAGCATTCCTCATCCACCTCCCTTCCACCCCTGCCCTACACCTGTGTCCTCACCCCTTCCTCCTGGGCTGGCATCGACCTCTGTCCCCGGCAGGAACCCGTCTCTCAAGCAGCAGCTCTTCTCCTATGCCATTCTGGGCTTTGCCCTGTCTGAAGCCATGGGGCTCTTCTGTTTGATGGTCGCCTTCCTCATCCTCTTCGCCATGTGAGGCTCCGTGGGGGTCACCTACCCGTCCCTGCTGCTTCGACTCCACACCACGTCCAGTGCTGGGGTGTGCTGAGCTTTACCATTAAACACAATGTTTCTGTAAACCCATATGCCTGTGCCTCTGTCCTTTGACCTTGGGGAGGGCCTTGGAGAGAGGAAGGTGAGAGAAGAAGAGGGAATTAGGGCGGCCATTGGTGATTGGGAACTCCTCAGGGCTGACAGTGGCACTGTTGGAGTAAGAATGTGGAGGGGGTTCTGATATCCGAGGAGGAACATGAATTTATCTGAGTAATGATAGTTGATGCTTTTCCCCTTTGAATTTGGCATATTAGTGTGTAACATTTTTTTTTTCCTTTTTTTTCCCTTCCTTTGGAGAGATTTTCGCTATAGGGCGCGTGCACTCGCCAGACAGAGAGAGAGAAACATAGAGACAGAAAGCGAGAAATCCCCCCCCGAGGGGGGGTGGTCACGCCGCAATCCCTTCTCTGTTCTCCTCTCGGGATCTTGGGTGCACACGCACACGTGCCCAGCATGAGTTTTAAGCCACCTGGTCCAGGACGCGAACTGCGGTCGACTACGTGGTAATCCAGCGACATAGCCATTACGCTAACTGCTGGTTCCCTAGTGTGTAACATTTTTGAGGACCTTAATCTGTACTCAGTTCTGTACCAAGTGTTTGACATTTGTTATCTCAACTACTCTCTGAATTATAAACACAACTATTAACTTTGTTTAGCAATAAGAGACCCAAGGCTTAGGGATACAAAGTAACTTGTCATAAAGGTGGTAAGTGGCAGAAGTGGGGACTCCCCACCTGAGGCCAGCCTAAAGCTTTTATTTTTCTTTTAATTTGCTGGAGGGTATATGTACTCATCAGAGAGAAATACAGATGGGGCCAGGGGTCAGAAGCACCCCTTTGTGGGGAATGGTCACATTGCAATCTCTGCACTTCCATTTCTCCTGGGATTTTGGGCATGCATACACATGCACCCCCTGTGGTTTTCAAGCTGCTGTGTCAAGGAACCAGGAACCAGACCACGTAGTCAACCATATGGGATCCAGCTGCCTTCACCACGCCACTGACTGGCCCTAGCCTAAACCTTGAATTGCTGTGTTGTCCCATCTATTTTCATTTTGGTCACGCAGCAATTAAGACGGCACGGACAGGGAAATTTAGTCCCAAAGAAGTTGTACAGCTCGTTGAAGGTAGAGATGGGCTTCTGCCTGTAGGTAGCTCTTCTTGTAGGTTCTCATTAGCCTTTCTTAGAGTGTCTAAATGTCCTTGAATAAAGCAAATAAGGGACACAATCCCTTTTCTTGGAGATTTTATGATCTTAGGTTTGCTAGGGATAAACAAAGACACACTGGGAGAATGTACCAACTCATGAATTGCTTGGAGGGCTTTATGTAGCCTCGCCCTCAAAGTTAGGCCCAGGATCTCTCCCCTCTTGGCTAGAGGGCGACTGATAACCCAGGTAAGATAGAGTGAGCTGAGGCAGCAATAGCTGCTGCTTTTCTAAGCCCTGGCAGCAGCACGCCATACACAGTGCAGAGGTGCAGAGCGGCCTGTGTTCTTAAATTGGATGGTCTCAAAAGGAGTAATTTGTTAAGTCAGACCTAATTTGTAAAAACCTGTATATCTCAACTGACTGTAAAGCTTCTATAAATAGTAAAACCCAGAACAAAACCTTTCCCGTGCTGACTTCCCTAAGGTTTGTAGAGTCCAGTGACTTGCCTAAGGGCATCCATCAGGCCAGTAGTTCCAGTCCAAGCCTATCTGGCATTCATTCAACAATTACAGCCTTTCTTCCACGGGATTTCTCAACCTGGGCATATCTGGGAGCCAGATAATTCATTGTAGGGTGGCCGTCCTGCACAGTGTAAAGTGCTCCCCACCAAGTTGTGACAGTCAGTTGTCAGATGTCAGGTATTGACAAGTGTCCCCTGAATGAGGGCAGAATTTTGTCCAGTTGAGAATTACGGGGCTAGCACAACCCACTGTTTGTCCTCTTAGTCTCTTCACCTGAGGTGGCTCCCTCAAGGTTACCCTCAGCAAGCCAGCGATAGAACTTGAAGCAGAGCCTAGGCGTTTCAGGGCCAGAGAAGGAATGAGACAGGTTGAACTGGCAGCTGTGGTATTGCCAAGGGGGTGATGGATTCACTGGTAATGCTTTCACCCAGATGGAATGCCGTAATCCTTTGGGGCATCCGGCTGGCATCCCTGCTTGGTCACCACCCTCTGGCGGTAATCAAGGAACAGCCCCCAGGGAAAGTGGTTGCCTTTTCCTTACGCAAAGTTCCAGGAACCTAGTCTTACCAAGAGGCTGTTAATGGCTCCAAACAGCCCTGGGATGGATGGACTTAAAAACAAAAATCAGAGGGGCCTGCAGGTGGTGTGGTGGTTAAGGGTGCTGGACTCCCACATGGCTGACAATTCCTGGACCTGGCGGCTTCTCATTTTCCCTCTCTTTCTCTCTCCCTCTTATCACTCATGTCCTTCTCTGATCACGTTAAAAATAAATAAATAACGTTAAATAAAGCCATTACAAAAAAATAAATCAATTGTTCCAGCCAGGTGATGGGGTGATTAAGATGGCTGGATCCTACATAGCCATCTGTGCAGTTTGAGTCCCAGACTTGGTGGCTTGAAATAAACACCAAGCATGTGTGTGTACATGCCTAAAATCCTAAGAGAGTGGAAAAAGGATTGTGGCATGGCCAACCCTCCTGGGGAATGCTTTCTCATTTTCTATCTCTCTCTGTCTCTCCAGCAAACTCACAAGTCTTATAGCAAACAAGAAAAATTAAAAGGGTGGAAAAGTGGTTGGTGGCCCATGGAGCTCTAGAGGGCCCAGGGGGCATGATGCTTACCCCTAACCAAGCTACTTAGTTCGTTATATTATTATTGAGGTTCTTTAGGGTCTATGGCCTGTTCCATGGATGGGACTATTTTGCTTACTGCAAAATATTTGTGAGTGGGGACCAGCAGTTAGCGTAATGCCCATGTCGCTGAACTCCCATATAGTTGACCGCGGTTCAAGTCCCAGACCTGGTGGCTTAAAATCATGTTGGTCACGTGTGCGTGCATGCCCAAAATCCTGAGAGGAGAATGGAGAAGGGATTGCGGCGTGGCCATCCCCGCCTGGGGTTGATTTCTTGCTTTCTGTCTCTGTCTCTGTCTCTGGCAAGGGCATGCACCCTATAGCAAAAACTTCTCAAAAAAACAAAAATTTTGCAGGGGCCAGCAGGTGGTATGATGGTTAAGAGGGCTGGACTCCCACATGGCCGACTGGTTCGATTCCTGGACCTGGCAACTTGCTTTCTCACTTTCCCTTTCTCTCTCTTTCTCTCATTCTATCCCTCTCTGGCCAAATTAAAATAAAGTAATAAATAAAGTTAAATGTTAATTATCTCCCCAGAGCCATGATTTCACCTCTAAAATGAGGATAAGAACACTGCTGGTCGTGACAAGAGGAGACAATACAGAGTACATAAAAGTAAAGGCCCAGTCCAGGCGGCACAGTCCACAGAACGCTAGACTGCAGAACTGGAAGCCACCTGGCTGGCTGGTTCAGATCCCTGCATTGGCCTGAAAGTGTGTTAGGTGTGTGCTCAGGTGCCCAAGATCCTGAGTTATTAGAAGCCTGTGAACAGGGATCATGGTGTGACAAGACCTTGCCAAAGGTGCTTTCTATCTTTTTCTCAAGCTTATATGTATTCTATCATTTTAAAAATGAGACCATACATGTAATACATACATGTATAGTATCTACGAGATACATGTAATATAAAAATGTCTTAATGAGAAATACCTAACAATGAGATGATATATAAACATGTATTAAATATATATATTAAATACAGCTATTACTACTTATAATCGAAAGCCTCAAGGGGCTGGCAGGTGGCATGGTAGTTAGGGCACTGGATTCCCACATGGCTGACCATAGTTTGAGTCCTGGACCTGCAGCTTACTTTCTTTTCTGGAGAGATTTTTGCTATAGGGTGCGTGTGCTCGCCAGAAAGACAAAGACAGAGATAGAAAGCCAGAAATCACCCCCTGGGGGGATGGCCATGCTGCAATCCCTTCTCTTCCATTCTCTTGGGATCTTGGGCACACACGCACACGAGTTTAAGCCACTGGGTCCGGGACTCGAACATGGGAATTCAACAATAGCCATTATGCTAACTGCTGGTTCTGCAGCTTGCTTTCTCACTTTCTCTGTCTCTCTCTGGTCAAATTTAAATAATAATAATAATGTTCAAATTTAAATAATGATGATGATGATGAATAAAATAAAATAGTTCTTTACAAAAAAAAAAAAAAAGCTTGGAACAAGCAGATGGCATAATGGTTATGTCGCTGGACTCCCACATAGTTGACGGTGGCTTGCGTTCTGAACCTGGTGGCTTGAAACACGCTGGGCGCACGTGCGTATATTCCCAAAATCCTGAAAGGAGAGTGGAGGAAACAGATTATGTCATAGCCATCCCTGCTAGCGGGTGATTTCTCACTTTCTGTCACTCTGTCTCTGGCGGGTACACATGCCCTATAGCAAAAATCTCTCTTAAAAAAAAAAAAAAAGCCTCAAGACATCCGATCCAAATTGATTTTTTCCATTTCAGTCCAGGTTTTAGGGCCTTGTGGCACTGGGCCCTAGAGGGGAAGGACTGCCCCAGGAGGCTATGGGACACAGGATTTGGGAGAAGGAAAGGAGCCTTCACGGTGTATCTGAGGGTTGAAGCAGAGTAGTGATATGGACTCCAAGATGCCAACTAGTCTCTGTCCTTGGGAGAGGGCACTTGCCCTAGAGATGGCCCAGTGGAGGGCAGTCCAGCTCTGGGGAAGAGAGAGAAGTTTGGATCTAGGTAGGAAGACTGCTGAGTTGTGATGGCCATGCCAGAGGGCATGGGAGTGGCTCCAGAAAGCACACGCCAGCCCTCTGGCTAGGCTGCCAGTGGAAAGCAGCCAAGTGTTGCCTTGAAAAGTCAGTGAACACTGGTCTAAGCGGCCCAGCTTACAGTCTGCTAGTCTCTCTCCAGCCCGGAGGCTTCCTAGGGTTCCTGTGGTAGGTGGTGAGCTGGTCCTTTCGGCAGCTGCCATCCCT